CTAACCCTTACAGGCTAATTCTCGCACCTGGACTAGCCCATTTCTAATGATGTGTGTAAGCACCCCAAGGTGCGCTTACCGGGAAGATTCTAGCCTACATCCATCCAGGATTGGAGGAGCTTCATTGCGTGCATCTGCCTGGGAGAGCTGAGCATGGCGTCTCTGCTCCAGCAGAGCTGTCGGGGGTCTCTCCGGGAGCAGAGCAGAGTCTGACCTCACTTCCTCTTCCGCCCAGAATTCTATTCTGTTTACTCCTCCCATCTATGTTCTAAGCTGAGGCCAAGCAGTTGGTTTATTATAACTTAACCAATGAAATCAACAGATTGATATATGTCACTCCCACATCAACATACTAGCTAAAAGATATTGAAAAATATGTTATTCAAAGAAGAGTAGTCAAAAAATAAATCAGAGAGAAAACTTTTAATATTCTAATCCTTTTTAATTTTAAGAATTCCTAGAAAATTGAAACAAATTATCAGAACTTTTGAGATACAATAAAAATGGTCTTAGGACCACAGGTTATAGCTTTGGGTGCAAACACTAAGCAATCAGACTTTGTAAGAATCTAATAATGCCCTTCAATATATTAGGAAAATAGGAATAAACACAGTTGAAATAACAGAGATCACAGAAAAATTCATGAAATTAATGCAATGTAGTCTATCGGAATACAAAAAATCAATTAAATGAGTTGGTCCTTTGAAAGTAAATACAGTTGAAAATTGCTAGGCTAAATCAGAAAGAGAAAGTGAAAAATCAATTTCTATGATGAACATCAACGCAAAAATTATTGAAGAACTTTCAAATCGAACACACACTTTTGGCCACGATAAACATTGATGATGTATTAGTTACTTATCACTTGTTGCAACAAAATACATGAGAAAAGTGTCTTGGGGAAACTAATTTAGATTTCCAGTCTCATAGCTTATGTTCATCATGGAAAGGGAGAAGGTGTGGCTGTCCCCATTGAATCCACCTCCTGTCAATAACTTGAAAAGTTGAGACACACAGTAGCCTCTCAGGTACTCTAACACTGACACACATTGATATATCTGTAGAACCTTGGAAGAAGACATTGTTACACCTCAGAGTGTTTTGCTTTTTATCCCTGCAAAACCAGTACCACATGAGTGATGCAGCCAAGTTCTAATGCTAACTCATGATGGAGGCTGGATCAAATTTTAATCTGTTTCTGGCTGTCAATTCTGAGAAAATACTTCCTAGTGATTTGTTTGGAGAGGTTGGAAGGCTGTCAGTGGTTTCTCAAATTAAACACTCTTCTGTCAAATTGACTTGCATTTTCAGAAGATTAAGTTGATTGATGGGGTCTTCTTGCCCTCAATACCTTTCCTCTGGTATTGTTGAAGTTATCCACTTTTCTTTAATGGTGTTAATCTATTTAAGTATCACAGCTATTTTCACAAAACTAGCCTTTTTGTAAACTTTAAGCTACCTCAAGACAATTCATTTCTCCCTTTTGAATTCAGATGCCTATTTTTTAACTCAGTGTATTGTTCTGAATTAGCACCTCCATTAAAAAATTGACTAGAGTAATTATCATTAATAGATATATTTTCATAAGCCTGGAGAATTCTGACTCTGTCTTTCTTCATTTAGGATGATAGTGTTCACAGTTTTTTTTTAAATTACATGTATCAACTCCAGAAAGTCTGATTCTGTTCATATTCAGTGTTTATTACACATGTGTACTTAATTTTGTAAACTCTTTATATTCTGGGTCAACTTAACTTTTCAATATGATTAATTACATAAATTCAGTTCTTAATGCTAAATAGTGCTGCATTCTTAGATTGAACTCCACCTGATCAAGAGGTAGTATCTTTACATATTTTGGCATTTTATTTATTTAAGCACATTTAAGAATGGTTCACACGTGTGCATGCTGTCTGCCACTGAAGCTCTTCTCCCTGGTGATTCAGTTTTCCTAATTCTCTAGCAAGGCTCTCTTCTTTACTCTAAAAAATATTCTACTCATGCCATTATACCTTTCTGTTATATTGATTCTGTTTTAATAATTTTATGATTTGATATTTCTTTGCTGAGTGTTTATACCATTTCAATTAAATTTATACAAATGTAAGTTTTTGTCAGATATTCTAAAGGTAATTTTATTGTCCTTCTCATACCATTCTAAAAGGCAGTTTCCCTTGTCATGAACTGGTTAAGTTCTCTTTCAACTGTTATTGTTTTGCTTTAAATAATTTTTACTTAATCTTCGCTAACTTTTTAGAATTGTGTTAGATAATTGTTAAAGAAGATCCTATGTTAGTTTCCTATTTTTTTTAAGTTTGGAATTAACTGTTAATTCACAGGTCTGGCTATGGATTCTTTTAGACTATGTAGTAAAGAGTCTACTTGCAACGTTTTGTTCTGGTTGACTGATCTTTTTCTCACAGGAAAGCCAACCGGTTTCTGCTTTTTTAGCCTGAAGAGATGAGAGAGCTTTCCAGATCAGCGTCCTGGTGTCACTAATTAGGGAAGGGTTGTTTTAGCTGGAGATTTCCCTTCAGTCAGCCCTTGCACCGAGGGAGGGGGCAAGTTGATGTTGATGGTGAACCTTATTTACCATCCTAGGTTTTTTCTTCAGGGTGGGTTTTCTGGAATTTCAGGATGAGAAACTCTGACCTCTGTTCTGGTTGCACAGTCTCTCTGTGTTTGTGAAAGAGGATTTAGGGAACACCATGAAATCCCCAACATGAAAGAGATTGTCTGTTGATGAGCAATGAATGTTTTTGTGTTTATTTTAACTACTTCTTCATTAAAGATTCCTAGATCTATCTGTGGTGCACATCAAAATTGATAATCGTACCCATATTTGTGAGATTTGCTACAACTACCTTGTCACTTACACATCTCTGACTCAGCCTTTCATTCTTTTCTTATGTTGATTTTCCATTGATTACTTTTTATTGCATAGATTTTTAGGCTAATCACAACTGTTTCAGCTGAGAAAACTTGACCTACTTCTTCTATAATTTCAAATGCTGAAAATTACTGATGATCCCAAATGCTTTTGCTTTCTCGGATTTTCAGGAAAAAGAAAAGCTTTAGTAAAATTTCGAGGAAGGGTTTTTATAAGTTGATGAAGCTTTACAAAAATTCTCTGGTCTATACCAGCAATATCATTTTCCTTTTACCATCAAAGATAACTCAGTTTTACACTATAAAAGAGATACCAAATAAATAGCAAGGAAATTAACAGATATACTGGCTCCAAAATTACTCAATGTCTGCAATTCCGTATACCCTATGATCTCATCTCTAACACTGCCTAATTTAAACTTGACTCAACAGGTGCTCCGTGGATGTGACTGAGAGATTTGCAGTACAGCTTATAACCACTGCAGCAAAAGGACGTGTGGGGTCTATGACAGCATTCTTGGGGGAAATTATCCTTTTATCTTTCACGGTGTTTCTAGTAACAAGGGAAAAACAATCAGTATTGCCCAGGACTGATAATTACAAGAAATTGTGTAACTAAGAATGGCTACATTCTTTTCATCTTTTCTGTTTGCAGGTCCAGGTTCTCCGGAACGCTGGGGAGGAAGTGACGCTGACGGTGTCATTTTTAAAAAGGGCACCTGCTTTCCTCAAGCTCCCCCTGAATGAAGACTGCGCCTGTAAGCATTTGTATGTAGAGTGGAATGAGGAATCCCAGCACTACCTTTGCTCTCTTCCCCCTCTTCTTTCTGACCAGTAGCTGGCATTTTTTTTTTCATAGAGTACAATGTGATATATTAATACATGGACATGCACATTGCATGTAGTCACCAAATCATGCGGAATTAGCTTCTCTTGCAAGACAAGAGTTTATAATTTCTGTATGTTGAAAATATTCACACCTCTGCTTTCTGGTAATAATGAAATTACCCACACTGCTATCCCCTGCATTTTCATTACACCCAGCATTTTACTGTGCTCTATCTGATTCTTAGCGTTCTTATTTCTTTGGAATAAATGCATTTTCAGAACATTTTTACATTATTTAAAACAATTTTTTCTTTTTGGTGAGGTTTTCCTTTCTCTCCCTCTTGCCCTCTCTCCCTCTATCCCTCTCTCTCCTGCTATTCCTTTCTCTCTCTCTCTCTCTCTCTCTCTCTCTCTCTCTCTCTCACACACACACACACACACACACACACACACACACACACACACACACACCTATGGTCGGTCACTTGCCAAGTTCTGGCATTGGTGTAAGTCAAATTTCTTTGTGTTTTATTTCCCAATTTTATATTATCATCGAAAATAATTATACACGGTCATTTTGGAACAGCATGACATTGTAACGTGTAAGATGTTATGTTTTTGTCTTTTGCAGGTGCTCCAAGTGACCAAAGCAGTGGTACCTCTTCTCCTCTTTGTGACAGTGGCTTGCATCTCAACTACCATCCAAACAACACAGTAAGACAGCTGGATACAGTTGAAACTAATAAGGATGGCCTAAGAGCAGAATATACCTGTATTTGTGGTTTGTAAACACCATTATTTTTTTCTGAAAAAGCTGTACATCTTGGTGATGTCACTAAGATTTAAGTGATAAGATGAGCCAGAAGGAAAAACAAACAGCCAGGTTTTTTGGCGTATGACATTTTTTAAATCAGGTGTGCCTTATTAATCCTCTGGAAGTGCTGGAGACTTGACTAGGACAAGAAGAGTAATAGAATCATATATTAGTTCAGAGATTTGCATGCCATATAGAGTTTCTGGAACTACATGATTTGACAGGATTTTTGACTTTTATTTTGATACCAGTTAGGTAAATATTTCCATCATTTGTTATTTTTTATGATCTTTAACCATATCATGAAACTACTACAAATAGAGAAAATTTTAGCATATAAATTATGATAAGGAACATCGAATATCAAACTGTGCGTTCAATAAAACATGCACTAGCACTCTAGTTTTATTGAATTTAATTAAATTTTTAGTGGTGAATTTTCCACATTTGTTTTTGAATAAATTAGCTATCTTTATTAAATACTTCTGAAATTTCTTATTTTAGTACTCAAAACACGTTATAAAGAAAAGAAAGCTAGTCACTCTGATTATATGTAGACTTAAATATGAACTAGCCTTGCCGACCTTCAGTACATATTAATTTTTCTGATCTCCAAGAAAGCACTATTCATCCAATATTAAAAACGTTCATTTAATTAAGGAATTTTATTTCAAAAGCAGCTTCTGAAAATTTGCAAGTCCAAACAAATTTTGTTGTTTCTGATTACACGGACCTTATTCCATAGCTAGATGACATAGGTTTTCCAGGTTAATTATCATATTTATTTATTCATTTATTTTGTAATGAGAAACATTTTTATAACTTGTAATATAGCATGAAAGAAAATATTTTCCAGTTTTTTTATCACTATATATTATTTGTCAACAATAAGGAGTTTCATTATAATGTTTTCTTACATGTATATGACCTTCCATGGTCACACACACACACATACACACACACGTATCTCTATCTATCTATCTATCTATCTATCTATCTATCTATCTATCTATCTATCTATCTATCATCTATCTATCTATCATCATCTATCTATCTGGGACTCTATAACATTTTATTATCCTGTTCTCCACTGATTTTTATTATTATATATTTATAATCTTCTATCTTTTTTCCTTTCCCACCCCAGATGCCATATATGAGAAAAAAATATACTTTTCATGTTGTGTGAGACCAGATAAAGCACAAACTACTGATCTTCTAATGTTACCAGGATCTGAGTGATTTAAAACTCTAATTTTCAAGTGAGCAAAAAATTACACATACAGAAGCAGTGATCCGATCAATACAAATGACAAATGTCTTGCGTTGTCCAATCAACGTGTGTGTGTGTGTCTGTCTGTCTGTCTTTCTGTCTGTCTGTGTTACTTGGTTGGATCCAGGGCTTCTTTACGTTAGGCAAGTAATAAGTGATATTACACTGAGTTTCCCTGGCCCCATTTGTTAACACACACACACACACACACACATACATGCACACACGTGCACACATGCACACACACATTTATAAATTGTTGCTCACCATTGTTTCCTTGGTGCCCATTATCCTCAATTACTGTGCTTATGCTGGTGATGTGAACAGCTGTGTCCTTTCATAGCCGATCGCTCCTTTCAAGTGTTTCCCTGAGAGTCACAGGCCCCTGAAGTGAGTTCAGGTATTCTGTGTGATTTGAGTAGAAGAAGGAACAAGGATGGCCTTCTCTAGATGATCAGCAGAGGAGATGGAACAAATATTTTGACAAGATGTTGGCTATAAAGCCTACGCTTCCTCCAGTCTTCCAGGTTTCCTCTGAGATTCCCCATTAGTCATGTTCAGAAGACAGAAAACCCACCTCATCTGCTTCAGCCCTGAAGAAAGGTGTTTGTTCATGTTCTTAATGTAGATTTTGTCTGAAGTCCTTTATCTCCTCTGCAGTAATGGGAAGCAGAGAAGTCAGGATGAAAGGCTTAAGAGAAGGAATCATTATGGTTTGTTTGCTACTCATTGCATTGTTTTATATAGAAATAGCACTATCATTCTTTAGAAACCTGTAATTAGGACATAGCAATTACATAATAATAATTACATATTATTACTAAATCTGCAGCCTCACTATTTTCATCATAGACAGTTGTATAGAATTCTGAATACAACATGACATATACATTCCATGCTACCATAAGTTCATTCATAATGTATTATTATTTTTATCATTAATGTTGAAATATATTGTTACACTGACAGATGTATTTTAGTGTAATGAAAGTCTATAATGGTGATATAAAGAAGAATCAACGTACAAATTCAAGCAAAACATATTATAATGAGGAAATATTGGTGTATTTCCATCAAATGAAGTCTTGCTGAAATCTATAGAGCCACTTAATGGGGTATTACAGGAAGTACTTAACTGTGGTTTCTGGCCTCTGAAATGTTAAACACCTTTAATAGAAAGAACGAAAGAACTAGGGAGGTGTTAAGACTCTGAACATGGATGTAGTTGAGATCTGAAAGCTGGAAGACTATAAAGCGAAGGTGGCTCTGCTCCTCTTCGTGCGTCTGCTGGTTCTGTCTTCTGACCTGAGGACAGTTGTCCAAACCAATTTCCCTTCCATGCTCTGGATAAGCTTCAATACAAGAGGAGAGACTAGAAACTCTCCCTACTCTCAGACTTACAATTATCTTCACTATTGTTTAATAACACAGAAATTGTATGGAACTGCATTTTGAACACCTATGATTTTTTGTTTTTGTTTTTTTTTTTTCAAAACAGGGTTTCTCTGTGTTACAGTCCTAGCTGCCATGGGATTAGCTCTTGTAGACCAGGTTAGCCTTGAACTCACAAAGATCCTTTTACATCTGCTTCCCAAGTGCCACCACTACCCAGACCCAATATCTATGATTTTTAATCAAATTTTGAGTAATCGGATATTGTTTTGCTGAACTATGATTTTAGAAAAGCACTTTAAAAATCAGGAGAAATCAAGCCTGAAATATAAAATTTCGGTTTTTAATGACTACTCCTACATGGACAAAATGTCACTGATTTCAAGTACACAAATATCCTTTCTATTGCTGAAGCTGAGTTGCCCGAGCCAAATCCTGTTCCTTATTATTTTTTTTTTCTGGAGGTGAAGTTAAGAAATTCCGTCCTAATCAATGGAAAATGACACTTACTCAGATATTCAGATAATACACTTTGAAAACACATTCCTTATCTTCACACCTAGAGTCTGCTTTCTGTGCCAACTTATTTTATAAAATATTCCGACTGGCATTTTATTCCACGTGCAATTCTTTTTTTGGCAATTTTGTTGTATTTCAAAGCCATCGTGTGATGTGTATTAAATATTAGAGAATATTCTGTTGTAAAGCATGAAGTATGAAAATGCTACATCTTCCATACCCCTGGTTAATATTTGAAAAAAAAAAAACCAATATTCTTGACATTGTTGAGTAAGTCTGAGAAATACACATCTCAAAACCATTTAATTATTGTTGTAGGCCACAATGTATGTTACCATAAATAACTGTTTGCAAAAGAAGCCTTGAAATCTGTATCTTATCTTCATAATCAAAATAAGAATTATTTTTAATGGTGTTAAATATTCAGCTGTGAATATGATTTGTAGTAGCATCTATATCAGGCTAAATTATTCTAAAAGTTGAAGTTGGGCATATTTTATAGATTTTCAAAGAAGTATAAAATGAAAAAAATGACCTTTTACATTTTAATTTATGAAGGTATTAAATGCAATGAAAATATATTTTCAGATCTATTACTCCTAATAGTGTTATGTAAATATCATGCCCACTTATGGCTGTCGTTGTCCTTGATTTCACATTGCCCCAATCCTTTAATATTCTTTCATACATTCTCTTATGTATTCATAGAAAATGATAACCAAATGGAGGAATTCATATTCACAGACTATGAAAAATCACTGTTAATAATATACTAAATAAATTTCTAATATGTCAAATAACCAACAAAAAATCTCAACTATTCTTTCAATTATTTCATATCTGCTTATAAGTGTGAGATGTGTTGTGATAGGTGTTTTTACTGTGGAATCAAAGAGGAGTTAGTTGTAATGAATCAATCATCCCTGGCTGTCACAGGCTGGATGACTTAGCAAATGAATTTCTTATAGATGCCCATCTACATAGATGAGTGATTGACTACCATGACATACCACATAAATAATCACTCCCATTACTTGCCTCAGCAACCCTGAAATCTGGCAGGAGGACAGCAGATGGAAGGTCCTGATTAATTGGGAAGCTTTGTTTATCTGCCTAGACTATGCTTCAAAGTATGGAGGCTGCCCCATGTTTCTCCTTTAAATAAAATGATTCATTGCTGCTGCTGAACATAGTTTTGTATTCACTCAGTAGCATGAGCATATCTTTATCTTGAAAAAACATTACAAAGTACTTAATGAACCAGAGATAATAGTATAGATGATAATAACAAGCAGCACGTGAGCAGTATTATTGCTTTTCCTATAAACCTCATAAATAGCTTGGCCACTTACTGATTTTTTTTAGATAAAATATAATTGCATAGTTTTTCCTCTTCCCTTTACTCACTCTAATCTTTCCCATGTCAACCCTAGCCCCCTCTCAAATTCATAGTTTTTTTCCTATGTTACACAAACACAGAGAGACAGACAGACAGACAGACACACACACAGAAAGACACAAAGAGAGACAGAAAAAAAAGCATAAATGTATATATTCAGTCTCATGAGTATGTTTAGTGTTACATGTATGACTATAATTTCAGGGCTGACCACTGGATACTAGCAAACCAAATAAGTAGCTCATCCCTAGGGCATATTAAGTATCCCACTTTCAGAATTTCTTAGTTCTATCTACTTCTTTTTCTGTGATTGGGTACTGGAAGATATTCCTCTTTGACATTAGCATATCTCTTGGTACTGTCATGGTTCAGGTCATGACTAGGCAGCTATATTCCCAATCTCATTAGTGAAGGCTTCATATCATTTCTAGAAGACACAATATCAGATTCCCAGATATTTTTGCTCTTGCAAGCTTACCCCATCTTCTTAGACGGACTTCAATCCTTAGGTGGAAGAGTTGTATTCACTGGAATTGGGCATCCCAAGATTATGTTTTGTCTATATTTGGGGCAGTTGTTGTTGTCTGTAGTAAATTTTCCTGCAAGAAGATTCTTTGAAAAGATAGAGAGTGGCGCTTGCTTATGAGTATAAGGAGACGCAGTTAGAATGCAGCTAAGAATTGTGCTCATTTAACGCAGTGAAAACATTATGTTCTCCTCTTAGATCCATGGCCTTACTAGTTCCAAGTTTTGGCTAGATTTCAAGTACTAGGTGTGATTTTCTTCTAATTGGACCTTAAATTCTATTAGGCAGCTTATGATTATAATCAAGATGTGAGTTCCACAATTGCACCCTTAGGGGTAGCTTTCCATTCTGTTCATTATTGTAGTTAGTAGGTGCCACAGCTGTATCTGAGTGACTATTATTTGCTTTCCTTCATTGAAAGCTTATTGCCACGATTTGAATTGTTAATATGGGGGTGCCAAGTGAATTATAAAACAATACAGACTGCTGTTGTTTCCCCTCCTTGCCTTCCGGAGATTAAATATAAGTCCTTCTTACTGAAGACACCGTGCCCCTCTGAAAGAAGACTTCAAAGACATGAACTGTATCTGATCGGAAAACATCCTTTCCTTTCTGAGTTCTATATTTAATGATACCAGAAAGGTCTATTGGTCACACAGTATCAAGCGGTCCTTCCTGAGAACATATGCACTCTAGAAAGATTACATGAACTGAGCAGATTGCATGTATGTATTTAAGAATACAAAAACACAAAGTAATAAAGAAAAAGATGGCATGAGTGGAATGAGACAAAGATGAGGAGTACACTGGAGACTTTGAAGGGAATTAAGGAAAAGTGAAAATTATATAAATATAATCTCGAAAATTAATAAAAAGGTATTTTAAAAATCCCCCAGCAAACCAGTTATAATATTGAACACATATAATATTAAAGGAATAATTATATCCTTGATATGACATGTAAGTGACGTAAAAGGACCTAAACTTTTTGAAACCAAATGAAAACAGTGTTCAAGACTTCCTAGAGCAGGGTGTTATGGATTCACTTGCAGGAGTGTTCATTCATTCAGAAATATTTTCGAGATTCATAATGAATATGTTCAGTGTGTGTTTACACATTGGCGTTTAAAAGATATTTTTAAATATGACGATGTTTGGACACTTGCAGGCACTCAAAACTCTTGGCCAATTGAACAATTCATCTTCCAAGAGGTTTTGTTGCTTCCCCGTGGTAGTAACTTTTCCAGTTTCTTCCATTCTTGACCAGATTCCACTCTGTCACAGTTTCATGTTTTCTCCTTCTTCCATAATTTTCAGGTATTTTCTTGGTCTTTCCTAGCCTTCTTACAGAGCTCTGTTAACAATGACATTTTGAAGTAGAATTCTGGGCCCAAGAGTGGGGGATTACTTAGGCTTATCAAACTATTGAAAACAATTGAAAAAATTAACGTCCCCCAGTGATAAGTCTGGGAACCCATGGAAGCACAGACCTTCTGAACATGTCACTCTTTTCAGGATACACTTTCCTGCTCTTCGTGGCCCACATCTCCAGGCCTGCGGTGGGAGAAGCGGTGGTGTGACCTCAGGCTCATTCCTCTACTGCATGCCCGCTTCTCTCAGTACCTGCCCGGGACTGACCTGAGTCGGTGAGTCTGTTTAGAGGTTCTAATCTCTGATTGAAAAGGGTCACTGCTCAAACTTTCAGCATAATGTGCCATGTCATTCTTATTTTAGCATGTTTCTCGAAGTACAAGAGAGTTGTACAGGAATCCTCTCCCATTGTAGACCATGGTAAATATTGAACCCAAGGCAGTGGAAGCCCTGTTTCTGTCATAAATAATTGCAGTGGATCTGATATATAATATAATATATATATAACTATAATTTATTGAGCTTAATATTTCTCGAGTTAATTTTAATAAGCTGTTTTATATTCAAAATACTCATATTGCTCATACATTTATCTTTTTGAGTGATGCTAGGAATCGAACCGCGGGTATTGAGTAACACCTGAGACCTTTGACGTTAATTATCTACCATCCTCATGTTAACCGTTTTGCAAATTAGTATATATGAGTTTGCTTTTCATCTTTTTTATCATGCTCAGTATTGCTCAGGATGTGGAATGAATTGTTTTTCAATAGCAGATTTGTGGGTTGTGTCCATCCCTTCTTTCCATAGAATTTAAATGAAAAGTTTCTGCATCTTTTTTCTTGATTTTTTCTTGTTGTTGTTCTGCTTCCTGAGTCCCTTGGTTTGATATTGTGCCTGATGCTTATTA